CATAGCTAACACAGCATTTATGATAAGTTCTAAATAATCATAAAGCAATAGTTTTAATATTTCAAACTACCTTATGAGTAAATGTTATTATTATCTTCATTCACAGCTAACAAGACAGATACAGACAGTTAAGCAATCTGCTCAAAGCCACTATCAACCCAGGTAGTCTGGTACCAAAGCGTATCTCTTTATCATCATCCCATTTGTTTAATTTCTGCTTCTTGTATTAGCATGAAATCATGCAGACAGGAATCACACTGGTGTTTTGCACTCTGCCTATACACCAGGTGCACAGTAACTATTTGTTAATAAAATCAATGAATAACTGAACTAGAAGAAATAGTGGGCTCATTTATGTGTAGGTTCAAGAGGTAGTTTAGGTGTAGTACTGATGATTGTAATATACCAGTTACTCAATAAATGAATATTTATAATTACATTCCACAGCACTGGTGGCCCTGTCCATTGAAATAATGGACTTTGGTGACTGTTATGGAGTGAATGTGTGATTTCCCACCAAATTCATGGGTTGAAGCCCCAACCACCAGGGGGGCCTTTAAGGAAGTAGTTAAGGTTAAATGAAATAATAAGGGTAGGCCCTAATCTAATAGGATTGGTGCTTTTCTAAGAAGAGAGACAAGAGCTCTCTGCTGCCACTGTACATGTCCTGAGGAAAGGCCATGTGAGGACATGGAGAGAAGGCAGCCATCTACAAACCAAGAAGAGAGCCCTCACCAGAAACTCAGCTGACCAGAACCTCAACCTGGAACTTCTAGTCTCTAGAACCATGAGAAAATAAATTTCCATTGTTTAATCCATCTGGTCTATAATACTTTGCTATGGCCGTCCAACCAGACTAAGAAAATAAATAGCAGGATGAGTGTGGGTGGTAAAGGAGAGGTGTCTAACCTGGGGGACTGGAGAGATAGTGGATGTCACTAATTGGGATAGAGGCCTTGAAAAAGGAAGAGAAGGTATTTGTTATGGTTAGTGCAAGCACACTATTCTGTATTTAGGGTTCACCTCACTCAAACATGGAAATAAATAAGTTGGCTATTTAAAATCAGTTAATAAATGAATATTTATAGTTACATCACACAGAAGTGGTGGCCCTGTCCTTTTCCTGTGACTACAAAGTAAACAACATTCTCTGCTCTCAAGGAACTCACAGTCCAAGGGAGAGAGCACTGTTCCTTTCAGTGAAGCCAGCATCCCAAATGGAAAAGTCATCCTCCCCTTCCTCACTTCTAAAGAACTGTGACTCATCAAGAATAGAGATTAAAAAAAAAAAGAATAGAGATAAAATTCCATGTGGACAAAGATCTTTGGAGTCACATGATCCAGATTTGAATCTGAGTCTTGGAATATACTAGCTGAGTGATGACCTTAGGTGACTAAATTACCTTTCTGGTTATTAATATAGCCTGTAAATGCAGAGATTTTTGTAAAGGATCAAAGGTGGACAGAAACATTTCATAAAGTGCAATATGCACATCAGCGATCATTTTAATTATTAAAGCTACACTTCTGACTCACAAACTGGAGGTAAATCAGCCATGAACAGCAGGTTAGAGGTGAAAAGGCTGGTTTGGTAAGTGGTGGGAATTCCAGGTTGGAGGAAAAAGACTAGAGTAGCAGGGGAAAAAATCCCAGGCTTTGGGATCCTATAACCTAGTTCAGTCACAATTCAGTCAGTTATTAGCTATGGAAAGTTCAGCAAATCATGTTATCTATCAGAGTTAGTTTTTTAATCTGTAAAATGGAGTTAATATTTGTCCTGGAAGGTTGTTCTGAGTATGTAAAGAGCTTGGTGCAATGCCTGGCAGAGCTGTTGCTCAATTAAGGCTAACTTGCTCCTATTAATTAATGATTTTCCTCTTCTGCCTCCTGAGGGGTTTGTTTAGGTGGTTAAGTTACTTGAGGTGCAAGAAGTAAGGGAAATGGAAGAACTGTTATAAGCTCCGAGAGCTAATTTTTAAAGTAAAGGAGTTTAATTTGGTTTTCCTCTCCTAATCCATGGCACAATCATGACTCAAAGAAATTGACCACTGTAGCATGTGGCCTGCAGCCTGACTCAATCAGCTTGTTCCTTACTCCTTGTCTTCTATCCTAAGTAGATATCCAAAACACTGTTAAGAAGGCCTCTCTAAAGATGATGCTTCTCAAACTTTAATATACACATGAACCGTCTGAGGGCTTGTTAAAATGCAGATTTTCATTCAGTGGATTTAGGGTGGGGCATGAAATTCTGAGTTTCTAATAACCTCCCAAGTGAGACTGATGGTGCTGATTCATGGATTACACTCTGAGGAAGTGGTAAGGCTCTGCAAGGACATGGAAGTATCTTCCCAGCCATGGTGTTCACTGTTGGAATTTTCTTTAGAGATCTACCTAATGGTGGAGTATTCATAGAACACAAACCTATTTTAGACAAGATTTGGAAATTGCTCCCAGGGACTCTTTCAGATCAATATCATTCTTTTTTCAACAGTCTACTGTGTGCAGGACACTGTGGCAAGTGCTGGGGGCACAAAGGTTAGTAATTCCTGCTTCTGCAGAGGGCTCTTATCAACACTGTGTGGCACAGACCTTAACTTCCTGGAGGCGGTCTTGTCAGCACTGTTGCCTAAGTTGCATGGAGGAGAGATGCTAAAGAAATACTAAAGGAATGACTGAGTTCACAGGGCTTTCATTAAAAATATCTTCTTGTAGCACATGAAAATAAGACTTTTAAACTGCTTGTTATCTTAACTATCACATTTAAGGTTAATTATGTTAAAATGAGCCCATTTGATTGGCCTCTCATCCAATCGGACTGGTGTCCTAGTAAGAAAAAGAAATTTGGACGCACAAGGCACAACAAGGATGCACTGGAAACAGGAAAGACCCACGTCAAGATACAGCAAGACATCAAGCTATAAGCCAATGAGAAAGGCCTCAGAAGAAGCCGAACATGCTGACAGCTTGATCTTCTAGCCTCCAGAACTGTAAGAACAAATTTCTGTTGTTTAAACACCCCAATCTGTAGGATATCGGCAGCTCTAGTAAACTAATACAGAGTCTTCATAGCTTTTATGCCCAGATACAAGACCCTGTTTTTGTACGGTACAGGAAATGTAGGCATAATTCTATGAGTTGATGGATGAAACTCAGAGAGCATTGGGAAATATTAATGCAAGGATTCAAGGGAGAAAAAAAGTGAGAGACAGTAGCCCAGATCAGGCAACAGCACTGCCATATTCACATTTTCCTCCCCTTTGCCACATGATATCAACACAAAGTCTAGAGGTGCTCTCTCTCCAGATCTGACACTGAACGTCTTTTATACTTGCTTCCCTTCCCAGGCTGTGTGTTGATATTTAACACAATTTTAAAATATTGTGGCAGGAGGAAGACCCCAGATTTCTCTCTAGAAGAGATCCTAAAGATTACTTGTGAAGGTAAAGAACAAACAAAAAAATGCATTAAAAACGCGTAACTGAGAGTCCTGCTAGCTACATTTGAGGACTGATTCTAAGTCAGGTCATTGGTTTGTTTATAATAAACATGTCAACTCCCTGGGGGTGGTGGTGCATGCCTGTAATCCCAGCATTCAGGAGGCTGAGACAGAAGGCTGGTTGCTGCAAGTTCAAGGCCAGCCTGGGCTACAAAGTGAGGTCAAGGCCAGCCTGAACTTCATAGCAAAACCCTGTTGAGAGAGACAGAGAGAGCAAGAAAAACATGTTAACTCATGTACAAATACGTGCTTCCTTTAAAGTAGTCATTCTGGAAAGTTCTACACTTATTCTAACAACTATTCTCAAATTATAGAGTTGTTTTTTTTTTTTTTTTTTTTTTTGGTTTTTCCCCGGTACCGGGAACCGAACTCACGACCTTGCGCTTGCCAGGCAGGCGCTTTGCCACTGAGCTAAATCCCCAGCCCCTCAAATTATAGAGTTGTGTTTGGGTCTGTTAGGTAGTCTTTTGAATGATTTCAATGGTGTTTTCAATCTACTCTTGAAAGTAGATTTGATTTTTAAAAACATCCAGGGGCTCTTCAGGGTCAAATGTGGTGAAGCAGGGGACCAGATAGACATAAAGCCAAGAGGACTGACTCTAAAGTATCCTGGCTGATTTTTCTTGAGTAAATTTGTATTCAGCCCCCAAAGGGAGTTTCTGAAGACAGACCCCAGGCAGGAAGTCACCATGTCATATGCTTTGTTATAGCAGCAAGCTTGAGGTTAGGGAGGGGTGGCGGCTGTGCTGAGGGAAACCCCACTCATTTGGACACACAAGTTTTCTAGGGTTTCCTCTCCGTAGCTTGAATTTCTCAGATCCAGATCTATGTGATTTCATGGGGCGGGAGTTCCCAGAAGTACAAGGATTCCAATGCCTTCGCTAACTGTTAATCCCCAACATGGGTAGTTTGTCTGTTCAATGAATGGTTGATGTCAGTTAAATATGGGGAAGAATGTCCAAGGTGTCTAGGGCTTATTCTAACCCTACTCAAAGGGCAAAACTAGGAGACTCAGGAGGCATACATTTCTGCTCTGGGTGAGGAAAACATTGTCTGCAGCTGGAGCTGTCCAGCAATGGAGTTTGCTCTGGAAATGGTGAGCTTCCAGAATGGGAGGAGTTCAAAGCAAAGGCTGCTGGTCTACAGAGGGACCCCCGTAATGAATGGGTGGGGAGTGAAGCAATTAAGTTCGAATGCTATCTTGAGTCCAATCTACACAATACCTGGCACTTCATAGGTCCTGAAAATATACTGTTTGAACGGCATGAATGAAGAATATTGTGCAGCTTATGAGCAAGTAGTAGGGAAGAAGCCTGTGGCTCAGTCAGATGGAGGGAAGGTAGGGAGTAGTGAGAGGAAAACAGTCAGGAAGCCAAGAGGCGAGTTCCTTGGGTTTTGGGCACCACAGCAGAGAAACTGCTTTGGGCACTCGAAGCTATGGTTATGAAAGGTCAAGGCCTTTGAAAAGGAAGGAAGCTGGAAGAGAAAAATGACCACTGCTCACCCTTTTTAAACTCCTCCAGCACTGTGTCCAGCCGGGTATCATTGAAGACGCAGTGTAGGGGCCGGTTGTAGAAGCGAGTGACGGTAAGGAGCGGGGTGCAGTCGTCGGGGTCCACAAAGGCCAAGTCTTTGACAAACAGAATGTCCACAATGTTGTGCCTCTGGTCGCCCTCGTACACCGGGATGCGAGTGTAGCCGCTGCGAAGGATCTCGGAGACAGTGGCGAAGTCGAGCACCGCGTCTGAACGCAGCATGAAGCAGTCCCCCAGGGGGGTCAGCACCTCCTCTACCACCTTGGTGCGCAGCTCCAGGGCGCCCTGGATGATGTTCAGCTCTTCCTTCACCAGGTCACTATAGGGGTCTGCAGCCCGCAGCGTCTCCAGCAGTTTCTCCCGCGTGTAGAAGGTGCTGATCTCCTGACGTAGCGCCCAGTCCAGCAGGCGCCCCAGCGGGTAGCACACCGGGAAGGCGGCCGCCATCAGGAGCCTGGTCAGGCACACACTGTGCGAGGCGATGGCCAGCCCATGCCGCGAGCACACCGAGTAGGGGCAAATCTCGGCTCCCAGGAACACTGCGCCGGTGCACACGAGCGCCGGCAGCCACGGGAAATGAACCCCCGCCTCGCTGTAGTCCTCCCCGGGGCCCCCGACGCCCGGCGGCAGTGAAGCGCACAGCCAGCCGGCCAGGGCGGCGTTGGCTCCGGCTTGGCCCAGGAGCAGGGTGCAAAGCAGATGGGTCCCCCTGCCGCGTACGGCCTGCACGCGGCGTGCCTGCTCCTGCTCGGCGGCCGAGCCACTGTTCCGCAGCACCCGTAACTCCACCGGGTCCAGCGAGAGCAGGCTCAGGCGCAGGCCGCTGAACAGGGCGGACAGGGCCAGCAGCAGGAGCGCCCCGAGCGCCCGCAGCCACGCGGGCGGCAGCAGGTCCCCACCCGGGCCGTAGAGCCGCGGGCGGACGCGCAGCAGGAAGCCGCCCGCGGCACCGTGGTGGTGCCAAGCGCGCCCATCCCAGGCGCACAGCGAGAAGAGCTTCCCGCCGCCCGCCCCACCGCGCTCCGCCTCGCCCTTGCGCAGCTCTCGCACCCGCACCTGCACCAAGGCCGAGCCCGCCACGCCCCCGGGGCGCAAGGGCCCCAGCACCTCCACGTCGGACGCCCAGTCGCTCTGCTCGCGGCAGCGCTGAGGTCCCGGGGCGTGCGTGGGGAGCGCGCTGGTCGCCGCGCCGCTCCCGCCTGGGGGCTCCTCGATAAACACTAGCCGCGGGGCCCAGGCGCCGGTGCTGTTTTCCCCCGGGGAGACGGTGGGTGCGGGCGCCGGCGCGGCGGGGGCCGGGGGCCCAGGCTGGAAATAAACGCGTAGGAGGAAGCTGGTGCCTTCGGCCGCGCGCAGGGTGCCTCCCTCTAGGGACACGCGGCCTCCAGCCGTGTCTTCCGGCCTCAGACCCAGCAGCCAGGCAGCGGCGGCCGGGGGTCGGGGAGACAGAGAAAAGAAAAGCAGGAGCACAGCGCCCCGGCTGCAGCAGTCCCGCAGCCTGACACCCACCGCCGCCGCCGCCGCCATCCTGCACCCAGCGCGGCTGCACGTGACACTGCAGAGAGCCGAGCGAGAGCGGGAGGAGGAGCTGGAGCGGGGACACGGCCGCAGGCAGCTCGCCACGTGTGCTGCCCCTGCGCGCGTGGGCTGGAGGCTGCGGGGGCTCGGAACCTGCCCGGGAGGGGAGTCCCCTCCCGAGGATGGAGAGGGCGAAGCACCACCGCGCGCAAAGCCTTGGGTGCACTTCAGTATAGATAACTGTAACCTGGGGAAGGCTTGGCTTGGAGCACGGCCTTCTACTCCAGCAATAAATCAGTCCTACGCAAACTCCTACCCAGCGGTAATTCGCAGCTCGCCCCACCGCTTCCCCGCTGGCCCAGAAATATCCCTGCGTTGCTCTTTTGCTGCCGCTTGCAGTCTTCCGTCTAGTTAAAAGATATTCTTGAGGCTGAGCTTGAATTTGTGAAAACTCTTAGTGTTTGATCGCAATTCCAGCTGACCTATCATATTGTAAATATTTCCAGATTATTTAAATTCAGTTCTGTGTTATGAAGGTCTGTCAAGAAAATTGAGGAAAAAACCCATAATTCCATTGTGCAACGGAGTACTGCACAGCAGGAAAAAGTCTCTATAGGAGTAGTAAAGATAGCAAGGTTCACAACGACGTGTGTAATATGTGACTGCTTGTATTGAGTATGAATACATTTATGTGTAATATGTGTATATGTGTAAATATTAGATTTAAAATGCAGCTAATACATGAAAAATGTGATAGTATTTACCTCCAGGGAGCAGAATTAGGCTTTGGAAGTTTGACTGAGAGAAACTTGTAAGAAATTTTAGAGTAACAGGAATTTACAAAAATTATACATAGAGATCCCTCTACCCTTCACTCAGTTTCCCTGAATAGTTACATTTTAACTTCGGTGTAGCACAGTATCAAAAGCAGAAATTCTGCATTAGTGTAATGTGTGTGTATAGTTGTACATTATGATATCATGTATAGATTTATGTTGCCACCAATGCAATCAAAATACAAGTCTATCACCACAAAGATCTTGGAGAATTTTTGTTGAATTCCTTTTTTTTTAAAATACAAATTTGTGCATATTAACGTGTGGGCCTCTATTACTTTTTATGCATTTATTTTAAAAATTTATATAGTATAATCCCCTTTTTGATATATTCTATGAGTTTTCATGAATGAATATTCATGTAACCTTCACACACACAAAATAATTCCTTTGGGATAACAGCTGTAGTTAAGTTGGTAGTGTGCCTGACTAGCGCTTGGGAGGCCCTGGGTTCCATCCTTAGTATGGAAAGAAGTATCACCTTTCTTCTTCTCTAGAGTTTTCTTTTCCAGAATGCTCTATAAAAAGAATAGTATTGCATGCAGCCTTTTTGGGTCTTGAATCCCTTACTAGATTATAAAGCCTTTAAAATGTATTTATATTGTTGTATTTATCAATAGATAGTTCATCCTTTTGTGTAAGTGGCATTCCATTAAATGGATGTGTCACAATTTGTTTAGTTAAGACAGTTATTTCCTATTTTTGACAATTATGAATAAAGCAGCCATAAACATTTTGTGTACAGGTTTTTGTGTGAACATAAATTTTTATTTCTCTTGCATAAATTTCCTACAGGTCTGCTTCATTTATTTATAGTGAAGTCATGGAATTTTTTTAAGCTTTTATTTATTTTGGTGCTGGGTGCTGAACCTGGGGCCTTGGGCATGCTAGGGACACACTCTACAGCTCAGATCTTTACCCTCCCAGCCCTTGCTTTATTTTTATTTGACAAATAATTACATTTTTTATGAGGTGTGCTCTAATCACTTTCTCGCTCGGAGACACAGTGCCGGACACCCGCGACTTAAGAGGGGAGGGGTTTATTTTGGCTCTCACTGTCAGTCCGCAGCTGGCCAGCTCCAAGCAAAGCGGCCGGCAGAGGCACGGCGGAGAAAACCTGCACATGTCGTGGCAGCAAAGAAGTAGGGAGAAAAGGAGGAGCTAGTGAGGGAGAGAAGTCCTTTTAGGTCAAGTCCCCAGGGAGCCCCAGGCCCCTCCTCTTACCAGCAAATTGGCAGTAGCACAGCATCATTCCATCAGCTTCCGGAAACCCCACCTATGAGCCCACAAGTCTCTCGGGGGACACCTAGATACAAACAGTGACAGTGCACTGCAGAGCTTTGATACATGCATAGTACACTGTGAAATCGTCAAACCAGGTGACTGACACATTTGTCACCTGAAATATTTATCTTTTTTTGTAGTAAAAACATTTACAATCCTTTCTTTTAGCTACTTTGAAATACATGATACATTATTGTTAACTTTAACACCTTGCTGTGCAATAGAGACTTTTATTCCCCCATCTAGCTTATTCCTCCTATCTGGCTTTAACTTTGTAGCCATGGAGCAACTTCTCCCGCTTCCCAGCCCAGGGACTCTGCCATCTGCCATAAACACCGTTCTACTCTCTTCTTCCACTAGTTTGACTTTTTTACATTCCACATATACTATGGCATTTGTCTCTCTGTGCCTGGCTTATTTCACTTAACATATTGTCTTCCAGTTTTACCCGTGTTTTCACAGATGACAGAATTTCCTATTAAGGCTGAATAGTATTCTATTGTGTGCGTGGACTACATTTTAAAATCCATTTGCCCATTGACAACACAGGTGGTTTCTCTATCTTGGGTACTGTGAATAAGCAAGAAACATGGGCGTGCAGGTATCCGCATTCCAGGTTCAATTCCTTTCACATGTACTCGGTGGGAGGCTGGGTCACATGGTAATTCTATTTCTTATTTTTAAAGAGAACTGTATACTGTTTTTCAAGCAAGAAATTGCTCGCCTACTAATTTAATACATGTACTAACTTACATATGTTACTTTTTAAAATATAAAAGTAATAATAACTCCACATATTGTCTTAGGCACCTTTGACTAACATAAAAGATCATGGCTATGTGGCATGCTCATTTTTATGAGCATGGACAAATAATTGTGAAGTATATACGTGTGGCTTCTGTATATTTATGCATTGTATAATCAAATACATTACACATACAATCTAGTCTGCTTCTGTCATGGAACATGTCAAGAATTTTTATAAGCATAATTTTATAATGAGGAGAGAGAGGCAGAGAGAGAAAGAGAGAAATTGTAAGAATAATTCTCTTCCCATTTGCATTAGTTCTATTATTAACAGGTGTTAGGCCTGTGAAAGTCATTTCACTTTTCTGCCCCGTTTGTCATCTGTGAAAGGAGAGACAGTTTTCAGTTTACTGAACCAGAGGTGCTGGAAAAGTACTGGGTTTCCAGAGCTCTGCTGTAATTGAAAGGATTTCTGGGGACAGGTTCAGTCAGTGCAATTCTCCTAAGAAAGACCTGCCAAAAATAGCTCCCCAGAATCTGAATATTCACTACCTTCTTAGTTTATTAATTTTTTAATTTTGGTCTTTTTGAGACAAGGTCTCACTATGCAGTTCAGGCTGGCCTCGGGCTCACTTTGTAGCCCAGGCTGGTCTCAAACTCTCAAGGATCCTCTTGCCTCTGCCTACGGAGTGTTAGGATTACAGGCGTGCACCACCACACCCAGCTACCTTCTTAGTTTATGAGATGGAGAATTTCTCGTTTCTTAGAGAGATGGAGGAATTATTTCCTTCTGCTATCATACCTGTGTTTTTTTCAGAATGTATATGTGTTAAGATGCTTTGTTTATTTCATTACTTGTCTATCTATCCAATAAATATTTATTAACTGACAAAGTTCCACGCCCAAGTACCTGGCAGTATCTTTGCCAGCCTGGATCTTAGAGTCTACTGAGGAAGAGAGAGTTGAATAGAAATTGCATACCTACTAATTAATTACTCCTGTGAAGCAAACATCCAAAATGACATTACTTACATGTTCACCCAACACTGTGTAGATCTGCCTGTCTTGCTGATTGTACTCTTGTTTGGTGTTTTTTCTTTTTTTTTGGTTTTTCTCCAGTACCGGGAACCGAACTCACGACCCTGCACTTGCCAGGCAGGCGCTTTGCTGCTGAGCTAAATCCCCAGCCCCTCTTGTTTTGTGTTTCTGAATGCTGCATGGCATACCGTATTGACTATCATGATTTTTATCCATTCTCTTAGAGATGGACACTTAGGTTATCATAAGCTTCCCACTACTACAAACAGACACAGTGAAATCTTTGATGGTAATCCAATGGGACTTGGGGAAATTCCTGTGGAATATCCTCACTGTTGGATTGTTGAGTCATAAGGCATACATTCACTAGTACTGGCAGATTCCTCTCCACTAGTAATGCCTAATGTTTCCTGTTTTCCAACATTCTAGCCTACACTTGGTATTTTCACTTCCCAAATTGGCTACATTGATGAATGTCTTTGATTCTTAGCAACTTTTCATCTCTCTTAATATTTTTTAGCCATTCAGACAAGATCGGGCTCACTCAGGATGGTATGGCGTTGACTTGTTAGCCTTTCAGATATGAAATTGGGGCTAATGATTTGGGCTAAGTCTTGAAATCTCTTTTATAGGACATTCCACACTTGACAGCATTTTATATCCTAAAACACAAATGTATATTTTACCCTGACCAAATTAGACAGAATATGGGAGAAAAAGTTCCCATCCATTTTGTAGAGATAGATGTTTTTGCACCTGCCAGTGGAGCAGGTAATAAGGTGTCTGGGCTTGTTCATGTCTGCAACACACCGGGTGTGGTGGCGTGTATCTGTAATCCCAGCACTCAAGAGGCTGAGGCACGAGGATCTCTGCAAATTTGAGACCAGCTTGGACTACACAGTGAGTGCAAGGCAAGCCTGAACTATATAGTGAGACCTTGTCTCCAAAAAAGTCTGTAACAATTAATTGTGAATGGTACATTTCTGACATATAGGTATTTCTATCAGTTAATAATAAAAGCTCCTGCTTAGGGTAGGGAGAGGAATTTTTTGTTTTTTTCTAAACAAGATCAAGAGATTTTCTTTTTCTTTGTCTTCATTTTCCTCTTTTTTTCTTTAGGGGGAGGGTAGGGGTGGTCACCTTGTAGTATCTGGGCAGTCAGAAGATGAATCCTACTGT